AAAACATCCTTGCTACAAGCTTCCGCCAGCCACACTGGTTGAAGCTGATGAAGAACCAGGGCAAGGAATAGCACCCTTTAGGGCTGGGTCTCCGCGGAAGTCCCGCCCCCACGCTGAAGTCACTCACGGGTGAGTCTGGTGGTCCCGCCTCCGCCCCCCACTCCTGTGGGCTGCACTGGTAGCTGACTGCGGAGGTGATTGGCTGTAGGCAGTGATTGGCAGCTGAGGCTGTGTGAGGAAGCCAGCTGGGAGGCTTCCTCACCTGGACTTATCCAAGAAGACTGTTCAGGTACCAGATTTCTCCTCCTCTTTACCCGGAGCCCGGCTGACCGAGGACCCCAGAGGGGCCTCTCCTAGCCCTGCCATCAGTGTGGGCTCCTCCCAGGAAGAACCTCATTTTCGTCTTCACAGAAGGGGAGCCTTCTCCTTGCCCTGTGCGCCCCAGCTGAGTGGAAGCCGGTGGTGTGAGGCAACGCAGTACCTCCAGGGCTGGTGCTCCTGCCTCCTCCCTCGGGTCCCGGGGCCTGTGGGGCTCAGGAGAGGAAGGGGTCTGCGCGGGAGCTTCTCCCCTTCCCGGGGGTGCTCCCCGCGCCAGTGGCTCACGTCCCAGCGGGTGGGTGGACGCCCTCTTGGCCTGCCCACCTCAGTAGGGGCACGGGATGCCCTGGATCCCACCATCCCTTGGGCCGGGGCTTCTCATTTCTGTATGTCATTACCAGGACTGCTCATTATTACCAATCTATTATTAGGGGTATTATTTCTGCCAGCACTGCTAATAACGCGGATCTGGTGGTAGAAGACAAAAACATGCCGGTGCCCCTCCCCTTCCCCGCCATTCAACACAGAGGCCAGGCTGGTGCTTACCTGCCTGAACTGCCTAAACCTTGGAGGGAGAAGTGCACTTGGAGGCCCCCCCACCGCGACCTCTCTCCATTTGACAGGTGGGGAAGGGATTGTTCCCTGGGATGCAGGTGCCTGGGCTGTGTGATGCTGGCCCTGACTCTGCCCTTGGAGGGGTGCAGGCTCTGGGGGTGTTCCCCTGGGCCCATCCAGCTCCTTGGGTCTTGCCCTCACCTCTTTCTCTCCCTTGCCACTACATTCTTCTGGGCTTGGCATTGCTAGCTCAAAGAACTTTCTTCCCCAAATCCTTCTCACCTCTGGCAGATTGGACATGCTTGGGGGAAGGCCCAAAAGGCGTAGTCACCTCTCGAGAGCCTGGTGGGGCCCAGTGTGGGCTCCAGGAACCCCTCCCCGGGGAGCTGGAGAGCACTGCCCACCATGGGGGGTGAACACTGCTGCAGTCACTCGGACCCCGTCGGTGGTGGGGGTGGGGAGTGCTTAGTGCAGAGTCTGATGAGTGGGTTTTCTGATCACATATCACAGTGATGTGTGTGTGTGTGTGTGTGTGCATCCTATACCTTCCAACGCCAGCGGGATGGTACAGTCTGGGACATGGCTGTGGAATTTACAAGTGTAGGTGGGATCTCCAACTGTCTCTAGGCAATCTGGTTCCCGGGACACGCCCCATTCTCTCTCTCTCTCTCTCTCTGTGTATGTGTGTGTGCGGGCAAGCATGGGTGCACACCCAGGCTGGCTGTCGTTTGCCAGAAGCAGTAGTTTCTGGCCGGGGGAGCCCTGAAGACCCCCGAAAGGTGTGAGGACGGGACTGAAGTTGCCTGCCCATGCACCCTCCCATGAGTCTGGGGGATGGAGGGTTAGGGTCAGAGCCTCTGGGGGCATCCGGTGGGGGGGGGGTCTTGGGAGTGTCCACCCCCTAGAACTTCCAGAGTAGCTGTGAGAGCATGGGTTCCCTTTCCTCTGTGACTCACAGCAGGCTCTCAAGTCAAGTTCCCTGAGACATCACGATTCAGCTAATTCTCGTCCTGGTCCCATTAATCTGAGCTGACTAAGCAAGAACCACAGGCGGGGTAGAGACCCACAGATGCCCATGACGGCCAGCTGCAGTCATTCTCTTTGTTTTAGGCTCTGTCCATCTCCTTGCCCTGGCCTAAGCAGATCAGTCCTGCCCCTACCCTCTGGCTTTGGGGCCCTCTGGGCAGGTGTGTCCACCCTACCCCCTACACCCACAATGTGGAGGTTCTGTCTGAACACCAGACCTCAGCCGGTCTTGTTGCGCTGGGACTGTTTCACTGAGGCCCAGATGGGGTGAGGGAACGGAGGGCTTCTCCTGGGATGACCCCATCCAATCTCTTGGCCCCAGGAGCTCAGCTCTGGGCTTTCCCTCAGCCCTCAAAAAATATGCAGGACCTACCAGGACCTGGTGGGGGCGCTGGTGAGGGGAAGTGTTGGACTGTGTGGTTAGGGAGAGCTCCATGCTGGGCAGGTGGGGATGGTATGGGATGTGGGATGGGGATGGGAAGAAGGAGGAGCTGCGGAGGGGGGCACGAGGAGGATGTGCTTGTGGAGAGCAAAGAACTGGGACTTGGGATGAGGAGCCGTAGGAAGAGGGCTGAGCTGGGATTGACCAAGGGAGTGGGGATAGGGTTGGGCTGGGAAGGAGACGTAGATGGGGCAGAAGGGTGAGGTTGGAGATGGGCACAGGTTGGAGGAAGGGGCAGGGGATGGGGCAGGATGAGCCTGGGAAGACAGCTTATTCAGGGGCCATGGGGTGGATGCCTCTGGGATGCTGTCCCCCAGGGTCATCCTGTGCTTCCCCTGCTCTGGGCATGTCGCCAGCCACCCCACCCAGCCCAGATCAATGTCACCTCTCCACTCAGGAAACCACCTACTGTGGTCACCCAGTCCAACGCTGGCTTCAAATGCCAGCAAGTCTCTCCGTCCCTCTCGCCGCGGAAGCCGGCCTTGGCCTATGAAGTGCCCCTGTCGCCCCAGCTGTGGGCTCTTCCGCTCCTTGCTGTTCACAAGCTCCCAGGACATTTCAGCGTGACTCAGGGATAGTCCCTGGCAGTCCCGGTTCTGCTGCTCCATGCAGACCAGGACCAAACAGTGCTGGAAGGATGGAGGCTACACAGCAGGAAGGACTTCCAGGCTGGGCAGGGTGGAGCGCCCAGGGGAAGCGAGGCTCCATTGCTTTCTTAGGGGGCAGATGGGCCTCTCTGTGGGGGCTGCGCAAAGCTCTCCCAGGGGCAAAGGGTGGCACAGGGCGAGAGGCAGGTGTCAGTGGGGGACTTTTCCCCTTGCCTAACTTCCCCAGGCTTCTGGACCAAGGCGTTGTGTTGGAGGCAGTGTGGGGCTCGTGTGTGGATGAGACAAAGATGGGGAGCAGGGAGGCGCCCCAAACCCCTAGTCTTTCTCTCTCTTTGCTGAGACCCGCCTTTCCAGAGGATTCTGAGGTTCCCTGAGCCCCTGGGAAATAAAGTCCCCTGAGAACTCCCTGACATTCCTGGGAGAACAGGTTCCTGGCTCTGGGAGGTGAGCGAGGCGCCGGGCCTGGGGGGGCAGCATGCCTGGGCAGGCCTCGGAGCCGGGAGCTGAGCCGCATGGGCGGGGCGGGGCGGGGCGGGGAGCAGGGAGGACTTGTGCCTCTCCCCGCAGCACCTTCGTCCCTGAGGATTCCCAACCTGGGGCAGCCCCCATCCCCGACACCTCCCCAGGGCCCAGGCTGGCCCACCTGAGCCCCCTCACAGAGTCACGCGGGAAAAGGGCCAGGACAGTAGGTGCTGCCTTCCCACTGCCCTTCTGCTGCCTGCAGCCACGTGTCAGGAGGTGACCGAGATGGTGACCAGGACCAGGCCTAAGTGGACGGGCCTGGAGTGCCATGCTACCCTCCCCAGCCTGCCCCTGGGTCGGCCCAGATGAGCCAGGGCTCATCAGCGGAGGAAGAGTAGGCTAGAGGACAGGTAGAGCTGCCCCCTGCAGCAGTAGAGACTTCAGAGAGACTCCAGGAAGGACTCAAGACTGAGGGAGCCGACCGAGTTTCCTCTTTCAGGGATTAGGAAAACAAGGAGGGAGCAGCCCTGGCTGACCAGCGCTGAGCAGGGCGTGGAGAGCCCAGGAGACTTCTCCCAGCGAGGAGCTCCGCCAGGTCCCGTCCCACTGACCAGCTGGGCTTGCCACCACCACATCCAGACCTGTGTCCCCACACCTGCGGGTGCAGGGAGCAGGCGAACACGCCCACTTGTTCGAGTCTGTTGTTAATTCCATGTGCTTCTCTGGACACTTGGGGAGGGCCGGGGGACTCCGTGGGGAATGCCAGAAGCTTATCTGACCAGGCAGGGCGTGGGGACGAGCCCCGAGAGCAGGAGGGGCTTCCTGCCGCGTGAGTCCTTTCCCTGACTGGGGGCCTTCATTCTTGGGCTTCAGGGGTCCCGACCCCTGCCTGTCCTAGGTCTCTCCAGCAGTCCTCTTTGCCTTAGGGGTCTCGTGGGAGAGAAATGTCCCTCAACCTGGGGCAGACGCTGCCTCCAGCTCAGCATCAGCCCCTGGCCGCAGCACCTGTTTGCCACCTGCTGCTTCTCTGCCAGGTGCACCATCTCCTTTCTGCAACCCTGGCCTCCCCGCTGGCCCAGGCATCTAGACCCCGGCCCAGGGGATTCCTGGATGCATCCACACCTTCAGCACCACACAGCCCCCCGAGCTGGGCTGACCCCTCTCCTCGAGGAAAGCCACAGCTAGGCTGGCCGTGTGCCTCCCCGTCTTTCAACTCTAGCTGTCTCGTTCTAGCCCTCTGAGTCCTCTCTTTTTCCCGGCACAGAATGGGTAAGCACATCCCCTCCTCCCCCACACAGAGATATACACCCCAAATCCAACAGCACAACCGGAGAGAGGACCCATGCTGCAGCAAGAGGTCTGGAAGTTGGACAGCTTGGGACAGGAGCAAGAGGGAGGGCCGGGAGATGTCCCCATGGGTCGCCAGGCACTCACCCCAATCCCGAGTCACCCTTGAACTGCAGAAGAAGCCGAAGAGCACCCAGGTGCTCTCAGTCACCCCTGAGGCTGTTAAAAGGACAGCCCCCTCCCCAGGCCCTGGCCCAACCCTGCTGGCTTCCACGGCTGACTTGGGCCAGGTCTCTTCTTACCTGCTCAGTGAAGCAGGTCGGCGTGGGGGCCAGGGTCTGGGGGGCCGGGAGCTCCGTCCGTCTGTCAGTCCGTCAGCTCGGCTATCCTGGGTCTGTGCTGACATCAGGTGAGGGGAGGCAGCTGCTGGGTGAGCCAATAATTATGATATCAGCTTCCCCTTGCCCTGAGGGGCTGCTGCCAAAAACGGGGAGAAGAGAAAGGTGACTAAGAAGCTCGTTTGCTCCCTGGCTCTTGTTTGACAGGTACCGGCTCCTGTGCCCGCCCCGGCCACACCCCGGCCCCCCAACCCCTCCCTCCTCCTGCGCGAGCCCAGGCCCCTTGTCCCTGCCAGCGGGCATGGCCTGTGGCTTATGGAGGACGGAGTTGTCCTGCAGCCCCCACCTGCACCCCAGAACGGGGACGCCAGCCCCCCACGGGTGGGGCACAGGCCTGCCGAGGCACGCACACGTGTGTCAGAAGAACCCGGCTGCCACATGTGTGTTCAGGGAGCTGGCAAGGAGGTTCCGGGAGCCACAGCGAGTGGCGGCCCTGGGTTTTCTGAGGCCTGACACAGATGGGTGGTGATCAGGACCCCACAAGGGCCAAGCAGCAGCACAGGTTGGCTGGGACGGCCCACGGGATCTGGCCTCTGCCTGTCTCTCCACAACCCCCCTGTACCTTCAGAGCATCTCCTTTCTCCTTGTGTGTGGGGTGCATGTTCCTACAGGTGTCCCTCCCTGGGTCTGTGCTTTTGTCCCCTGGGCTGGTGTGCATCTGCATCTCTGTGTGGGTCCCTGTCCTTGCACCCACGCATCTGTGTGCATGTCTGCTGTGGGCCAGCAGGCTGCCCCGTGTATGTGCCTGAGCAGTTGTGTGGGTAGGCAGGGGGCTTCTGGGACCTGGGCTGGGAACCCACAGCTGTTCTCTGTGTTCTGGAGATGAAAAAGGAACCAGGGAGGTTGTAGCCCTCGCTGTGGCCTCCTGGAGTTCACACTGAGTGTGGAAGGCCTGGGGAACCCTAGGGATTGGTCCCCACTGGTTCCATGTCGGCTTCCGCCTGGTGCCTGTCCCTTTCCCTGCCAGCCCTCCTGCTGCAGCCCCAGACCCTGTCTCCACCTCCCGCTCCCTGCTTCCTTTTTCATCTTCCTTGCCCTACCCCTGTCCCCTGTTCCCAGCCATCCTTCTTCCCCTCCATCTCTCTCACCCCTGCCTTGACTACTATGTCCTTTCATGCGCCTGTTCCTTCCTGGAGTAATTGGTTCCAGGGAGTTGGTGGTACAACTACTGGCCCGAGGACATGCACACCCTCCCACCGCCCTCTTAATCCATCTCCTTCCCAGGAGAGCTAATGTCAGCCTTGGGGGTGGGGGTGTCATCTAGTGCAGGTGTGGAATAGACGAAAGTATTTGGAGACCTCTTGGTATAAGCAAAGGATGTTCTGGGCTAAATACTTCAAAAAAGAGAGTACTGAGTGCCTAGATTCTGGACTTGGCCCCGTTCCAGATTCCAGCTTCCTGCTAATGTACTCCTTGGGAGGCAGAGGTGACGGCAGAAGTAGCTGGGTTTCAGCCACCCATGTGGGAGAGACCTGAATTCCCAGCTTCCAGCTCAGGCTGCTGTGGGCATTGGGGAGTGAACCAGTGAGTGGGAGCTCTCTAACTCTCTGTCTGTCTCTCTCTCTTTCTCAAGTGAGAAGAAGAAGAAAAGAGAAGAAGAAGAAGAAAGAAAAGAGGGGAAGAGGGTGTGGGGAGGTGACAGTGACCCCCTCAAGGATGGTTGTCTGTGTGGTCTCCCGTTCTCACCACTGGGAACCTCACTTTGCTCATCTGTTAATAAGGAATCCATGTTATTTACTCATAGTGTTCTTGTGCGCATAACATAAATGTGTATATTTAAAGTTCCCAGCACAATCCTCGGTATGTAGTGGATGTCCAATCAGCCTGTGCCCACTCTCTGTTCGCCAGGTACATCCGTGCTGGGTGAGAAGCGAGAGTGTAGTAGCCCAGGACTTGTGTTCTGGGCTGGGAAGGCAGGACCTGACTCAGTAATCACCTCTGAGACTCAGAAGAGCGAGCAAAGCTCTGTTCCCTTTAACTCAAGAGTTAAGTTGATGGAGCTGGTGCTGTGGCGTAAAGTGGGTAAAGCTGCTGCCTGCAGTGCCGGCATCGCATATGGGCGCCGGTTTGAGTCCTGGCTGCTCCACTTCCGATCCAGCTCTCTGCTGTGGCCTGGGAAAGTGTTAGAAGATGGCCCAAGGCCTTGGGCCCCTGCGTCCACGTGGGAGACCCAGAAGAAGCTCCTGGCTTCTGCCTTTGGATCAGCACAGATCCGACCATTGTGGCCAGTTGAAGAGTGAACCAGCTGATGGAGGGCCTCTCTCTGTCTCTCTGTCTCTCTCTCTCTCAATTTGCCTCTCTGTGTAACTCTTTCAAATAAATAAATCTTAAAAACAAAACAAAACAAAACAAAACAAAACAGTAGAGTTTCACAGTGAAAGGGCAGCCAGGCCGGTGCCGTGGCTCAATAGGCTAATCCTCCACCTAGCGGCGCCGGCACACCGGGTTCTAGTCCTGATCAGGGCGCTGGATTCTGTCCCGGTTGCCCCTCTTCCAGGCCAGCTCTCTGCTGTGGCCCGGGAAGGCAGTGGAGGATGGCCCAGGTGCTTGGGCCCTGCACCCCATGGGAGACCAGGATAAGTACCTGGCTCCTGCCTTCGGATCAGCGCGGTGCGCCAGCCGTGGTGGCCATTGGAGGGTGAACCAACGGCAAAAGGAAGACCTTTCTCTCTGTCTCTCACTATCCACTCTGCCTGTCCAAAAAAAAAAGGGCAGCCAGCAAGACCTCCCCAGGTGTTTGTTCCCCTCCCATCCACGCTGGACTGCTTGTTATTTCTAGGCTCACAGATGTTTCTGTGTGGATCCACCTGGCACAGAGAACCATGAACGCTGTAAACTGATGGCTGGCACCAGTAAACGTTATTCTTAAGGCCGCAACCATTGCAGGAGGATAAGGAAAAAGAAATAAGGGGGATGTAAATATGAGAGGGAAGAAGGCAGAACCTTCAAGAATTACAAACCGTGTGAGTGTTAACTTAGGAAATCTAAGAGAAAGCAACTGAAAGACTGTTAGAACTAATGAGAGGATTAGTAAGGTAGCAGAATATTTATAAAAATCACAGCCATTTCTTTTTTAAAGATTTATTTCTTTAATTAAAATGCAGGGCATGAGAAGGGGAGAGAGAGAGAGAGAGACAGAGACAGAGAGAGAATCTTGCATCTGCTGGTTCTCTCCCCAAATAGCTTCAATAACTAGGGCAATGCCGGGCCAAAGCCAGGAGCCTGGAACTCCATCTGGAGTGGGTGGCAGGGGCTCAAGTATTTCCCAGGAGCATTGGCAGGGAGCTGGATGGGAAGCAGAGCAGGCAGGACTCGACCTAGTGCTCATACGGGATGGCCAGCGCTGCAGGAGGCAGCTTAACCCTCTGCACCACAGCAAGGGGCCCACGACACATTTTTATATTATAGAGTGGAGAAGGCATTTAGAATTTTATTGATTTGTTTTTATTTGTTTGAAAGGCAGAGACACACACACAGAAAAAGAGAGAGAGAGATAGAGATCTCCCTCCAGCTGATCTCCCATCAGCAGGGGACCAATCCCTAGGGTTCGTTCACAATAGCTGGGCCAGGCTAAAACTAGGAACCAGGAACTCCATCTGAGTTGCCTACAAGGATAGCAGGGATCCACTACTTGAACCATCACCTGCTGCTTCCCAGGGAGCGCATTAGCAGGAAGCTGGAATTGGGAGCAGAGCCAGGGCTTAAACCAGGCACTCCAATAGGGGACATGGTCCTCTTAACTGCTACAGCAAATGCCCAGCCCCGAAAAGGCATTTTTATTTTATTTTTTTTAAGATTTTTTTTATTTATTTGACAGGTAGAATTACAGACAGTACAGTGAGAGGGAGAGACAGAGAGAAAGGTCTTCCTTCCGTTGGTTCACCCTCCAAATGGCCGCTATGGCAGGAGCTACCCCAATCTAAAGCCAGGAGCCAGGTGCTTCTTCCAGGTCTCCCACGCGGCTACAGGGCTCAAGCACTTGGGCCATCCTCCACTGCCTTCCTGGGCCACAGCAGAGAGCTGGACTGGAAGAGGAGCAACCGGGATTAGAACCCGGCGCCCATATGGATGCCAGCGCTGCAGGCGGAGGATTAACCGAGTGAGCCACAGCGCCAGCCCCCGAGAAGGCATTTTTAAGCATGACTTACAGTCCAGACGTCACAAAGGATTCTGTTGACAGAGCTGCGTCAGTAAAAATTAAAAAATTTCTTTAGAGTGAAAATGCAACAAGAACAAAGTTACAAGATAAAAAGTAGTCTGGGAGAAAGAGTTGTGACATAGTAGCCGGCGCCGTGGCTCAATAGGCTAATCCTCCACCTTGCGGCGCCGGCACACCGGGTTCTAGTCCCGGTCGGGGCGCCGGATTCTGTCCCGGTTGCCCCTCTTCCAGGCCAGCTCTCTGCTATGGCCAAGGGAGGGCAGTGGAAGGATGGGCCCAGGGGCCTTGGGCCCCTGAACCCCCTGGGGAGAACCAGGAAAAAGCACC